AAAGGTATGTAGTAGGTAGGTAAGTAGGTAAAAGAGGTGGGATATGGAATGACCCCCAAGATACTCCCAGACCAGGAAAACAATTTTTAAAAATAAAATTTCCCACTTTATTTCTTTTTTAAAGATTTTATTTATTTGTTTGAGAGAGTGAGAGAGAGCACAAAAAGGGGGAGGGATGGTGGGAGAAGCAGGCTCCCCGCTGAGCAGAGAGCCCGGCATGAGGCTCGATCCCATGACCCTGAGATCACGACCTGAGCCGAAGGCAGATGTTTAACAGACTGAGCCACCTGGGTGTCTCAAATTTCCTACTTTATTGAAAAATTTAAAATATATGTGTGCTCATTTTAGACAGGAGAAACAACAGAACAGTGGAAAGGGAATGCGATCTCTCCAGATCCTATCCATTTTGGAGCACTGATATACTCCCTTCCAGGCTTTTGTTGTGTGTACGCGCACACACGCACATGTGTGTACAAGCGTGCACGCGTGAGTGTGTTTTACAAAGCTGGAACTATACTCTATATTCTTTCTTTTTTTTTTTAAGATTTTATTTATTTTTTTGACAGAGATCACAAGTAGGCAGAGAGGCAGGCAGAGAGAGAGGGGGAAGCAGGTTCCCTGCTGAGCAGAGAACCCGATGCAGGGCTCGATCCCAGGACCCCGAGATCATGACCTGAGCCGAAGACAGAGGCTTAACCCACTGAGCCACCCAGGCACCCCTATACTCTATATTCTATCTGAGTTTAACTCCAGAGCAGAGGCACTTTCCCATGTTACAGCAAATTCTATAAACATCCTTGGTTGGCTGCCTGATGTTCTATCAAGAGGGCGGCCCCCTGAACGACTCCACCACCATCCTCCTGGGAACGAGTCAGGAGGCTGTGGCCTTGACAGTGACAGAATTGGACTGTTCACACCACACGCCCGGTCCTTGCCAGGGTGACGCCTCTCTGGAGGCCATTTCGGTTGAACAACCCAGGTTGCCATGTCAACAGTAAACAGAAAACACGTTCCCTTCGGGGAGGGCCAGGAGGAGTGAGGTTTGGAAAATGGAGCTGCTGTCACCCCTCCAAAGCTGCCTCGGGCAACAGGAACCCCACAGAGCCTGCTTTCCGTTACCCAGGACGGTGGACAACCAAGAGGCACGACTGGTCCATAACTGGTCATTCGACCCAGTACAAGGAAGGGCAAGTGCAGTCAGATCGTCCCCACCCTTGCTGGGAGCAGCTGACTCAGCTGGGGGATGACAAGACCCATGCAGAGGTCTGCTCAGAGCCCCAGAGAATGCTCGAGAGAGAGCCAGGGCAGGGTGTCTTAAAACCACATCTCGAGGGAGCCAGAACAATCGCTTTAACGGACCAGACTGAGACATTAGTTTAAAGAGCTTTCAGGCAGAGGCGTGAAAAGGGAAACCTGTTCCAGGAACAGGGAGAGGTGTGGGGTGAGCAGAGCCTGAGGGACCCCTGGGGACCATGTGCGCGCCCATCCTCGGTGAGGATTTTGAACCAGACCTTGTAGAAATTTTAAGGAGGGGCAATTTATTGATTTCTTTGTTTGGGAGAGGTGAGGTGACCTGGCTGTTTTGCTTTAGTTTTCTTCTTCTAAAGTCTTTTTCTGCACACAAATAATACATGGGTTTGGTTTAAAAGTCTCTTATGTTTAGAGATATATATAATATAGACAAAGCCCCCCGTAACAGCACCCTTTCCCCCCAAGAGAATCACTATTAACTACTGTGTACAAATTCCTCCATACAAGTTTTGGCTTTGTAAATATGAAGATGTGTATATCTTTTTGATAAATGTGGGACTGTATTATACTTCAACTTGCCTTCTTAATTAACAGTATATAAAAATAAAAATAGCTACCATTTTTTTTAAGACTTTATTTATTTATTTGACAGATCACAAGTAGGCAGAGGCAGACAGAGAGAGAGAAGGGAGGAAGCAGGCCCCCTGCTGAGCAGAGAGCCCGATGCGGGGCTCGATCCCAGGACCCTGGAATCATGACCTGAGGCGAGGGCAGAGGCTTTAACCCACTGAGCCACCCAGGTACCCGTATAGCTACCATTTTTTAAATTCTAATTATGTCCATACTGTCCTTATGGCTTTTCATGGATCTTCCCACCAAATGTGTGTGTGTGTACGTACACACACACACACACACACACACACACACACACACACATCTTAGCATTGTCAGTCAAATCACATAGAAACATCATCTCTGGGATGTCTGCCTGGCTCAGTTGGTTAAGCGTCTACCCTTGGCTTGGGTCATGTTCCTGGGCTCCTGGGGATGGAGCCCCACGTCATGCTCTTTGTTCAGCAGGGAGCCTGCTTCTCCCTCGCCCTCTGCCTGCAGTTCCCCCTGCTTGTGCTCGCTCTCCCTCCCTGTCAAATAAATAAATAAAATATAAAAAGAAAAGAAATATCATCTCTGTTTTAATGTAAATACAGTATTCTCTTAGGACCATGGTTTAAAATTTAAATAAGGCCCTCTTGGGGTGCCTGGGTGGCTCAGTGGGTTAACCCTCTGCCTTCAGCTCAGGTCATGATCTCAGGGACCTGGGATCGAGTCCCACATTGGGCTCTCTGCTTGGCAGGGAGCCTGCTTCCTCCCCGCCCCCATCTCTCTGCCTGCCTCTTTGCCTACTTGTGATCTCTCTCTGTCAAATAAATAAATAAAATCTTAAAAAAAAAAAAAAAAAAAAAAAGGAAATGACTGGGTCAGAGAGAGAACACTTGGTTCTCTCCCAAACCTTGTCTGCAACTGGGATGGAGAGGGTCAAATCTGTCTTTGCATGTAGCTCCAACTGTAATGTGGGGTGCTGGGGCTGGTGGGGGTCCATCTGCCTGATGTGTAAACTGAGGCACAGGAGAATAAAGAACAGGTAAAGAGAGACAGAGAGGGACTCCTGGGTGGCTCAGTCATTAAGCGTCTGCCTTCGGCTCAGGTCAGGATCCTAGGGTCCTGGGATCGAGCCCCACATCGGGCTCCCTGCTCAGCGGGAAGCCTGCTTTTCTCTCTCCCTCTGCTGCTCCCCCTGCTTGTGTTCCCTCTCTCTCAGTGTCTCTCTGTGTCAAATAAATACAATAAAATCCCTAAAAAAAAGAGAAAAAGAGAGAGAGACAGAGAGAGAGACAGCTCTGCTACCTTCCAATTCCTAGACCCATCCCCTGAGAGGCCAGACATTGTTTCTCCCCTTGGCTCCCAAGAAATAAATACCCTTCTTCCCTTGAGCTGGTGTGAGCTGGCTTCTGTTTCACGAGCCCTGAGCCCCAGCCCCCGCTGGCACCCAGATTCCCCCAGACCAAGTATGGGATGCCTCAGCAATCTGCATCTCCTTAAGCCCCGACCCACAGTGAACACAAGCACGCCAGGCTGTCCCCCTGCCCTTCCCATGCAGCCCTCCACGGGGCTGGGCGTGCGGCTCAGGGGCTGGCTGAAGACAGGAAAGCAAGATAAGCCGCCACCTGATCCCACAGTGCCCCCCCCAACTTCACAGGGGACCTACAGGGCTGTGTCCAGAGCTGTCTGCCCCACAGAGACTTAATCTAGAACTCTGGTCCTGACAAAAGAAAATAACCAACTGTCCAAGAACTGTAATTATTAATTTCCTAAAAGCAGATTAATTCTGAAGTTAGAGAAGAGTGACTCCAATTCCTAATCCCAAAGCGGTGACGTATATTTTGCTTTCAGTACTAACTGATACTTTCTGTGGGCAGGCCTCAAATTAATAAGGAGAGCATTATTCCATTTAAGTTTTTTTCAAGGCACCTGGCTGGCTCAGTTGGAAGAACACATGACCCTTGATCATGGGGTTATGAGTTTGAGCCCCACGTTGGGCACAGAGATGAGACTAACTAACTAAATGAAATTTTTTTCATCACCAGTTATGATACAAAAGCCCTATAATCATCCTTTCCCCTCTCTTTATACCAGTTTTACCATAGTAGGAACACAAATCTCTGACAAAACAAGTACCCTTTTCCTTAATACAGAAGGATGCCCAACTCTAAGCAATGTTTTCTTTTTTTAATTTTTTAATTAAGATTTCTATTTTAAGATTTTTTTTTTAAAGATTTTATTTATTTATTTAACAGACAGAGATCACAAGTAGGCAGAGAGGCAGGCAGAGAGAGAGGAGGAAGCAGGCTCCCCGCTGAGCAGAGAGCCCGATGCGGGGCTCGATCCCAGGACTCTGAGATCGTGACCTGAGCCGAAGGCAGAGGCTTTAACCCACTGAGCCACCCAGGCGCCCCTAAGATTTCTATTTTAATTCCAGTTTCATACAGTGTTATAGTAAGGCGGGGGCTCTTTTGACTACAACCAACACGAAGAACCGTATTTTATATCATGTCCCTGGACCCACATACACATCCATCAGGAGTGAAATGCAGACATTTATGTGATTAGAGCCTGGCTGTCAACAACTAACTGGTATACCACATTCATGTGTGTGAACGTGTTTCTGCATATGTTCCAAAAAGTAAGATCTTTATGGGTACCTGGGTGGGTCAGTTAGTTGGGCAACTGCCTTTGTCTCAGGTCATGATCCTGGAGTCCTGGGATCAAGTCCCAAATTGGGCTCTGTGCTCAGTGGGGAGCCTGCTTCTCCCTCTGGCCCTCCCCTTCTCATGCTCTCTCTCTCTCTCATTCTCTAATAAATAAATAAAATCTTAAAAAAAAAAATACAATCTTCACAATTTGCAATCGTCTCCTGTATTTCCTAGTCTATTCTGCTCTGCTGCATTTTTTTAAAAAGCTGGTTAAGGTTTTCACAACCCAGTAGTGGGTCTTCACAGCTATTTCAAAAACACCTGCTCAAAAGTAATGCAACTTGTTTTAAGCCAACGAAATCCTCCCAGGGTGACACACATATCCCCAGACGCAGAATTTAGAATGGTGCCCAGGCTTTGGAAACCCAGGGAAGACCCCAAGCAGCTCCCCGATCCCTTGCGGCAGGTGGGTAGGGGTGGAACGGCTGGTCCACTCACCTTAAAATGGAAGGAGCTTGCGGGGGACCCGCTGGAGCCATACTGTTCACTCTTCATTAGGTTGCTGGAGTAGCTATTAACCTTGAAATTGCCATTCTGGTGAGACCTGGGGTCATCGGTGATGGGGCAGATGAAGTAACCTTCCTCATCATCGCTGTTGGCCTCAGAGTCACCGTCATGACCAGCCCGGGGGGTCTGGCCGCCGTCAACACCTTCCAGGCGGAAAATGAGGTCTTCGTCTGCCATGTTCCCGGGAGGCCCGTGTTACCCAAGGGGTGAGCAGCAGAGCCAGAGTGGCAGGGCAAACGCAGCGGTGTGGGTCCTACAAGGGAAGCGAGACAATGGGTACCAGGGCCCAGGGAGTGAGAGCTCGCGGTGCATCTCACCCTGGGTGCCCCCGGTGGCAAAGAGAACTGGCACCCTCGGAGGGAAAAGTACAGCATCTTTCGGGGAGGCACACTTGGCAGGTGGCATGTAGAACATTTTAAATGTACAAACCCGTCGACCAAGTAATTCCACTTTGGAGAACTCAGGGTCTGAAATAAGGCAGGGAAAATAAATGCTTCTTAAGCAACGGGAGTGATCTTTTTTAGAAGGTAAAGTAGATCAGACTTAACACCCTCTGGCAGCTTCTCTCCAGTGGCTTTTAAGACTACAAGGCCGGCTTTAGTCTGGTCCCTGCCCACTTCTCCTCTGGCCTTGGCACCTCTCCAGGCCCAATGGCTTGCTCTCTGTGTGGTGAATACGGGGAGCCCATTTCCACCCCAGGGCCTTTGTACTTGCTAACCCCTGTGCCTGGAACAATCTTCCCCATCTTCCAATAGTGGGTTCCCTTTCATCAGTTGGATCCTGACTCATCTAGAGAAATCTCAATTCAAAGGACTCCTCTCAAATGCACCTGCACTACTCCCTAACACATCTCTCTCTGCTTTATTCGCTACGGGCAGGTTTTCCCAAGCTGAAACCTCCTTTACTCTCTTACTGTCTGTATTCCCAGTGCCTCGAAGAGCGCGTGGCATAGATTGGGGCTCTATACACATCCCAAGAATGGCTGAGTGACCCAAAGAATGTCCTCTTTAGCATGATCAATAACAGGAAAAAAAAAAGCTAACAGCCCACGATGTCTGTCAGTAGAGGTTTGTTAAATTAAGTATGGCTTTCTTTACCATGCACTCTCATGTGACTCTTACAGAGGAAGGGGAAGCTCTAGATACATAAAGACAGGCCAAAAGAGTCAAGAACAAGTTCAGCAAGATTGTAAAATACAAAATTCAATAGTATTTCTGTACACTAGCAATGAAAAATCCAAAGAAGAAATTAAGAAAACAAGTCCAGCTATAAAGAACATCAAAAAGAAGAAAATATTTGGGAATAAATTTAATAAAAGAAGTACATGACTTGTACACTGAAAAAACACACTGAAAGAAATTAAAAATCTAAAAAAAAAAAAAAAAAAAGGGAAGAGGGGCACCTGGGTGGCTCAGTGGGTTAAAGCCTCTGCCTTCTGCTCAGGTCATAATCCCAGGGTCCTGGGATCGAGCCCCGAATCAGGCTCTCTGCTCAGCAGAGAACTCTGCCTACTTGTGATCTCTGTCTGTCAAATAAATAAATAAAATCTTAAAAAAAAAAAAGGGAAGATATTCTGCATTCATAGATCAGAGGATTTTTTATTTTATTTTTTTAAGACTTTATTTATTTGACAGAAAGAGAGACAGCTAGAGAGGGACTACAGCAGGGGGAGTGGGGGAGGGAGAAGAAGGCTTCCCGCTAAGCAGGGAGCCTGATGTGGGGCTCGATCCCAGGACCCTGGGATTATGACCTGAGCAGAAGGCAGACACTTAACTACTGAGCTACCCAGGCGCCTCCAGAGGATTTAATATTGCTAAGATGGCTATACTCGCCTAAAATGATCTATAGATTCAAACCAATCGCTATCAAATTCCTACTGGCTTCTTTGAAGAAATTAACAAGCACATGCTAAAGTTCAAACGGAAACACAAGGGACCAAAAATAGCCAAAACAGTCTTGAAAAAAGAGGAACAAAGTTGAAGGAGTCACACTTCTTGAATTCAAATCTTGCTATGAAGCTGCCGTCATCAAGACTGTTGGTATCGGTATTGGGATAGACACAGATCAATGGAATAGATTTGAGAGGCCAGAAATGAACCCCAATATTTACAACCATTGATTATGACAACGGCACTAAGACAAATTCAATGGGGAAAGAATACTCTTTTCAACCAATGATGCCAGGACGAGTGAATATATACATGGCCAAAGAATGAAACTGAACCCATTCCTTACACTAGTCACAAAAAATAACTAAAAATGGATCAAAGACTTACATATAAAAGCTAAAACATCATCTGACTCTTTGAAAACAATACAGGAGAAAATCTTTGTGAGATGGGACAGGTAAAGCTTTCTTAGCTATGACACGAAAAGTACAAGCAACAAAGGAACAGATAAATGAGGCACCATCAGAACTAAACACTGTGCTTCAAAGGACGCCGATGAGAGAGCGGGGAGATCACCCACAGAATGGGAGCAAAGTTTTGCAAATCATAAAGCTGGTAAGGGACTCTATAAAGAATGCAGACAACTTGGAGCGCCTGAGTGGCTCAGTGGGTTAAGCCTCTGCCTTCGACTCAGGTCATGATCTCAGGGTCCTGGGATCGAGCCCCGCATCGGGCTCTCTGCTCGCCGGGGAGCCTGCTTCCCCCTCTCTCTCTGCCTGCCTCTCTGCCTGCTTATGATCTCTTTCACTGTCAAATAAATAAGTTAAAAAAAAAAAAAAAAAGAATGTAGACAACAATAAGATGACAAATAAATAAAAAATGGGCAAAGGGCTTGAATAGACTTGAATAGATCTTTCTCTAGAGAAGACATAATCATGGCCAGTAGGCACATGAAAAGATGCTCAACGTCATTAGTCATTAGAGAAAGACTAGCCAAAGCCACACCCACTACGATGGATATAATAATAGTCAAAGCCACACCCACTACGATGGATATAATAATAATAAAAGAAAAAAAAAAAAAAACAGAAAATAGTAAATGTTGACAAGGGTACGGAAAAACTAAAACGCCCACACACTGTTGCTAGGAATGTAAAATGGTGCAACCACTTTGGAAAACAGTCTGGCAGGTCCTCAAAAAGTTAACCACAAAATTACCATATAAGCTAGCAATTCCTTTGGGTACACACCCAGAGAAAGGAAAACCACCACATTAAAACTTATATACATCCGTTTATAGAAGTATTATTTGTAACAGCCGGAAACAACCTTAGTGTTCGGGGACTAATGAATGAATAAATAAAATGTATCCACACAAGGGAATGCTGTGAAGCCTCAGAAAGGAGTAAAGAACCCAACACTTGGGTGAACCTTGAAAGCTTCAAGGAAAAGGAAAGATCTAACCACAAAAGAACACACATTGAATGACTCCATTTATATGAAATGTCCAGAGAAGGCAGATCTGTACAGACAGAAGGTATGTGAGCGGTTGCCTAAGGACAGGGAAGGGGAGACTTGAGGGAGGGAATGGGGAACAACTTCTAATGGGTTTCTTTGGAATTGGCACAAAATGTTCTTAAACTGTGTGCGGGTTGTGTGACTGCCGATATACGAAAAACCATCCGACTGTACACTTTTTAAAAGATTTTATTATTTGAGAGACAGCAAGAGTGAGAGAGATCAGAGAGGGAGAGGAGGGGGGTGACTCCCTGATGAGCAGAGAGGCGGACGCAGGGCTCCATCCCAGGACCCGAGATCATGACGCTTCACTGACTGAGCCACCCAGGCCCCCCAAACTGTACACTTTAAATGGATGCACTGTAAGGTTTGTGAATCGTATTTCAATAAAGCTTAGGGTCAAAAAAAAGGTAATCCAGGGACGCCTGGGTGGCTCAGTTGGTTGAGCAGCTGCCTTCAGCTCAGGTCATGATCCCAGCGTCCTGGGATCGAGTCCCACATCGGGCAGGCTCCTTGCTTGGCAGGGAGCCTGCTTCTCCCTCTGCCTCTGCCTGCCACTCTGTCTGCCTGTGCGTGCTCTAGCTCCTCTCTCTCTCTCTGACAAATAAATAAATAAATAATCTGTTAAAAAAAAAAAAAAAAAAGTAATCCAAAAAAGTGTCAAATTTTTTTTAAGATTTTATTTTTAAGGGGTATCTGGGTGGCTCAGTCCCTTAAGTGTCTGCTTTTGGCTCAGGTCATGATCCCAGGGTCCTGGGATCGAGCCCCACATCAGGCTCTCGGCTCAACGGGGAGCCTGCTTCTTCCTCTCCCTCTCCCTCTGTTTGTACGCATGCACGCTCTCTCTCTCTCTCTCTCTCTCTCTCTCTGTGTCAAATAAATAAATAAAATCTTAATTTTTTTTTTTAATTTTTAAGTAATCTCTGCTCCCAACGTGGGTCTCAAATTTACAGCCCTGAAATCGAGTCACATGCTCTACTTACTGAGCCAGCTAAACACCCCAAAAACCTGTGAAATTTCTAAAGCAAGTTGTAGAACAGCTGGTGTATCACAGGGATCCCACTCGTGTTAAAAGAAAAAGGACATCTGTAGATGAATTAAAGCTTCCCTGAGGGACTCCCCCCAGGAACTCCAGCAGCACCGGGATGGGCAGTAGCCATGGAAGCAGGACCCCGAGGGGATGGAGGGAACTTTTAAGAACTTGGCACACTTCTATACGGTTGTCACTTTTTACAAAGTTGGATTGCTTGCAACATAAAATAATAAGTGAAAACAATTTTAAAACTTTTTTAGATCAAGGCAATGATTCATATTTTTTTAAAATTTTATTTATTTGACAAGAGAGCGAGAGCACAAGCAGGGGCAGCAGCAGAGGGGGAGGGAGAAACAGACTCCCCCCACCAAGCAGGGAGCCCTCTACGAGGCTCCATCCCAGGACCCTGAGATCATGACCTGAGCCAAAGGCAGAGGTTTAACCCACTGAGCCACCCAGGAGCCCCTCAAATAAATAAAAATCTTTTTTAAAAGTCTTTTTAAAAAATCTTTTTTAAAAAGGATTTTGCTTATTTACTTGAGGAGGGGGAGAGAGCACAGGCAGGGGGAGCAGAAGAGGGAGAGGGAGAAGCAGGCTTCTCCGCTGAGCAGGGAGCCCCATGGCGGGGCTCCATCCCAGGACACTGAGATCATGACCTGAGCCGAAGGCAGATGCTTAACCATCTGAGCCACCCAGGCGCCCCAATTCTATTATTCCTAACAGCTCTTTCCACCCGCAGGCAGCCTTCCAGATCGAAGGCTCTGGCCCTTTCTTAATAGTTACCATAGCAGGAAAGAAGAAATCCATTTCTAT